TGTGTGTGTGTGTGTGTGTTTGTGTGTGTGTGTGTGTGTGTGTTTGCGTGCTGTGTGTGTCTGTGTGCGTGTGCACGCGCGTGCATGTATGTTCGGGGGTTCAAGCCTTAGCTCGGGCCAACGCTGTGTCCTTGGGAAAAGCACTTCGTACGAAGTTCCCATTTGGCTCGGTCCTTTCGGAGATGGACATTTAACTCTGAGGACCTGCTTCTTAAGTAACCTGACAGTGTTGATAGGGGCGTTATACGATTTCACCATTTTTAAAGGAAAGACCAGCTTCTGTGGTGTCGCACGCAGATTCTTGAGTAGAGAGGATAATAATTTCGTGGAGAGTTCGGTCTTTCTGCTGGAATGCTGTATCCCCCTCAATCCGAATTGGCCATGACAGGCGTGGTCGAAAGCCGGCCTCTTAAATGATCTGAATTGTGCAGATATTGAGCGTAAAAACACCTACATCTAAATTTAACAATTCAACTAGGCTAAGTGATTCGCCGTAGTCGGTGCTAGTTCAGTGTGGGTGCACTTCTTGACAACGGAGTGGATGGCCACAATTCTAATCCTCAATGGGGTCTTCATTATCTGGATTTTCTTAAAAATGTTAAGGCTCTCTACGTGCCCCCCTCCCCGGTTTGGAAATACACGTATCAGAAGCCACCCTTCTTAATTTTATTGACCTAACTGTTAAACTCATTCCACATTGGTGGGTGGTTGGTAGGTGCTCTGGTATGGTTCGCTTCTTCTTATCAATCAAACCTCTATCGTCCTCATCTTTCCTCTTTCTTCTCTTTGTTTATTACTCTCTAGGAACACCTCTGAAACTATCTACATTTACTAGACCTAATAGTGTTGAAAGTGCCGTAAACCTAAAATTCTTACCAAAGCTAAAAATCAATTCCGTAAAGCTGTGATCTGCATTGAGAACGATGTGTGTCATGTCTAGAGGCGTGTTAACTTGGACACAAAAGGACCCACTCACCGGCAAAGCGTCCCAGAGGGATTCGGTTCAAGACCGGGTTTGCCTTGGCGGGGTCGCTCCAGGCGTAGACCCCCATGGCGGTCATTGTCACTGTCGGGTTCACACAGTTGGTGCGGATCTGTCCATTCGGGAAAAACAATACAAAATTAAACATAAACCTTATCATACATGGGAACGTGGTAGATGCTTCCTGTTCTTCGTTCTTCATGTGGTTTCTGTTGTGGTTACTGTGGTTACTGTTGTTGTAGTTGTTGTTGTTGTTGCTGTTGTAGTCGTTACTGTTGTTGTAGTTGCTGATGTCGATAATGTTTGGTAGGTTTCATGTTCATTTTACCCCCTCTTAACACATGTTTAGGTCAATCCGTAGCCAAGATGCCAAATAAATGTCTACCATCTGACCCAGAACAATGAGAAAATAGCCTTGAAAACTTCCATGCACAATAGATTAAAGAAATAAAAAATAAGGTTCAAACAGGAGTTTCCAGGACCATAGTCAGGCATCTTATCCACTGAGCTAATGGCGTACCCTGATCAGAAGCTCTATCCATACAAAGAAAGACAACAACGCAATTAGCGGCAATCACCACGAGCAATTATTTTTTTTTCCGAGCACAAAATCAGACAATGACAGAAAGTTCACCGAGTCCGATATTTCCGCACACTCATTCAAAGTACGCAAGTCATTGCCGCGAAATGAAAGAGCAGCGCTGCCGTAGAAGACTTGGGATTAAAAAAAAGAACCCAACCAAAAAAAGACCTCCCAACCCCC